ATTAATCTCAGCCCCGATTTAAGAGTCCCTGTATGTGGCGATTTTTGTGTGTACTCCAGTGAGACACTATACTATTGGGACAACTACTCCACCCCATTAGAAGTTCTACAGTCCTTATATATAGGAACATATGGTTGAGATCTATTGATGGAAATGTGGACCACCGACCACAATAAGGTTAAAGTTTTTCATGAATGACATTATTGTTTCATTACGAGGGAAAAAAACTATATAGTACTGGCTAGGTGACATGGTTTTTGAGTTGACAGTAGCAAGTCTCATACAAGTAAAAACACAAATTATGTCGAGGCTCCTAGTTTAACGTCTCATTCGAAACAACGCTCATGCTTCGGAACTTCGTGGAGCATCTGCAGTGTTAAAAAGGCATCTGAGAGATGCTCTAAAACAGAATAATCAAGCAACTTAGAACCAAAAATGATAACACGATATGAACATCTACGATGCACAAGTAAAAGCTCTTGAAAAAATTCTACATAATTAAGGAAGCTCTTGTTCAGAATCTGCTCAAAGAAAGTTAAAAACACCCAAATGATTGTGAATTGGGTAAACATGTGATACTGATATGTTTTAGTAGTCTACAGTTATATACGATTATACATAATTTCGTGCAAACTCGTTCAACTTGGGTGTTGAATTGGTTTTGATGTATCAAGCTTAGAAAGAAACAGTCAAAGTTATTACCTGTTTGATATAATTTTGGTTTTTTTTTAATTTCAATGCTTGTCACAATCAGCTTTAGAGCCCTCCTGCTGTATACAATTTGACAATTTTGGGGATGAATGAATTTTGGAATCGCAATTGGAAATTCAGGAATTTGTTTTCAAAGTTTGAATCTTTACCCAAGTTGGAATCGCAAGTTTCATATTGTGCTACTGATCGAGAAATATCGATCATCTATTTAAAACGAAATTTGCTAAATGTTGTACTGTTGTCACCAACTATTGCACTCAAACGCTTCAAGTTGAATGATTAATTATTATTTATATGCTTGCTAGGATAAGGAAAAGATGTCAATTTATTCATATGTTTATCAAATTACAACCCTTGTGCTTTAGTAGCACAATTATTCCAAGAACATCAGTGAACTCTCAGTTAAGGGTTTCCTTCTTCAGAAATTAACTTGGTCTTAAATTCTGCTGAATAGTGGCAAGTCTCCTTGATGCATTTGCAGTGATAACCCAACTTGTTGCAATCCTTAGCGACTTTGCATGAAGGGTCGAACTGGAATTTTGCTTCGACCCCGAATTGTACACGTGCATAATTTTGCTTCGACCCCAATTTGTGGAATCTTAAAAAGCTCCCAACATTTCCAGCACAAAAGCCACCAAAATTATGATTAAAAGAAAATTATTATTAGTACTTCAAAAAATATAATTGTGCATTAAAAAAAAAATACTTATACAAGGATTGCACAATAAAATATCCTACATATAGTAATATATTTAAATATATACATATTGATAGTATTGCCAATTGATTTTAAGGTAGAATATCAATTTTCTTCATAATATTAGAGCAGACTGTCATGCGTGAAGGTCAACGACTACACTTGCTCTATAACATCTTTGTGTTGTCCACATGTTCGGTACACTTAAGAGGGCATGTTGAGAGTATCAGTCTCACATCGGAAAACAAATGACCATGCATGTGCTTACAAATAAATAGATTACTTTCCATATTGTTCATTAATTTTACGAAAAATCTGAATTTTTTTGCATATATAAAAATACATATAATATAAATATTCTGCATGACGTAAACAAAAAATTCAAAACAAAATTGTAGCAAAGATCCTCTCATGATGGTCATGGTGGTTGGTGACCAAATCCACCATTACTTTCGTGTCCTCCTCGAGATTCTCACATTCTCATATTTCTTGAAAAAAGAAGACGATGTTTTTGTAATTTTACTGAATGGACAAGCGCAGGGAATGTTGGATTCCTTATGGTCTCAAGCAAGGGATTTCCCTGTTCCACATACATACTGACCGTTTTGTGTCCAATATTTGAGAAAAATTCAATAAATATCACCGGATAAAATAAAATAAAAATGAAATAACACCCGTCTCTAGGTAAATGATATGTATGACTCAAAGAAATTTGGTTCGATTTGTAGGAATGTTTATAATATTATTCAGCATTTTATTTTTTGTTTTCTTGATTACCCAATTAACGCTCCTAATCGCAGAAGATACAAATTCATTGCTTTATTTTTAATTTTTTAATAATATTTATCATGCAATGGGGATTATGAGATTATCTTTACAATAAAGAGATTATGTCATTATCAATTTCAATCTCATTCTTTGTCTATCTTTTTCATCACGCAATTAAAAAAGCAAAATAATTGCGATAAAGATTTACCCTTACAGTGCTAGAAACAACCAATTTTCTTGTAAGGATCCGAGTACCAAATGGTCCAGGAATGGACGGCCATGGTTAATCCTTGAGATCTAATGGCTGATGGAAATAGAGAATTTTTTTTACTAATTTAAATCCATTGTAAAAACGAAAAAGTAGTGTGCATAGTTTCGAAAAAAAAAAAAAGAAAAAAAAAAAGAAGAAAAGAAGAGTAGTCTGCATTGCGATGAATGAGGGGAAGAGCCCTCCATAAACTTGTAAAGACTGTAAAAGCAATAGGCCATGCATGTGGTATCGTGATGAATGACTCAGCATGGGGTCCTCTACGAATTTACATTTTTTTTAGTGGTCTTTTTGGGACTGTTTTTGGATTGGTGTTTGTCAAGCTGACTGTAGGGGAAATGATCCAATAAACTTGTATTCGGAAACCAAGTCCAACATACATGCGCTTGCCTTGGCCCTTGGGCTTAGTGTTGGTGTTCTGTTCTAGCATTTTTCTTTCGGATGTAAAAGTGCAAAAACTTAGTCATGTGTTATTACAGTATAGTGATATTCATATTCGCTTTTAAGCGAGAGATCTTTCATTTTGTTATCGTCAAAAACAAATTTGAACCAAATTATTATGACTTGTCCATTATGAGATTTAGCTCATTCTCACACTCATTAGTATAGGTAATGCTAAATGTGGCAAAGAACGTGAACACTCAAATTCGACTCACGTAAATAACAAAAATGATCGACTTAGTTTGATACCTAACTGTCCCATTAGATAGCGTAGCCTAAATATACCACGCACCATGTTTTCTTTATTTTGTGCAAGAACAAATAGAGAAAGAAATCATATTTGGGCTCAAACAACTTTATCTAATTCAACCAAGGAAGGGAGAGGATATTTGGGCTCACCTCGGGCTTTCAGCTAGGTCCATGTGCAGAAAGAAACTCGTACAAGGAAAAAGTTAGTGGAATCTTCGCCATATATTTATTTTAAAATTTCGCGGGGTTTTTGTAGTAAGACTTGCTGCTGCCTTGAAAGTCTTTACATGCCACCAAAAATAGTAGCTCCACCGATTTCTATATGACTCGCTTCAACCTCTCTCTCTCTCTCTGAAAGAAGCAGAAGCATACAGTCACTGCCTCTCTCTATAAATTGGAGCAGAAGCTCCCCATTAATCACCACTAACCTTCTCAATCACCCTCCCCCCTCTCTCTCTCTCTCTTTCTCCCCCCCCCCCCCCTCTCTCTCTCTGTAAAGAAAGCAGAAGCACAGTCACCTCTCTCTAAATTGGAAGCCGAAGCCCACTCACCTTCAGGCAATCACCCTTCCCTCTCCCTCTCCCTCCGATCCCTCCAGATGATACCACATGGCTTCACTTTTGGTGTTCATAACCTTCTTGTTGCTCCGGCTCTGCACTGTCCAAGCAGTGGTTCTAACGCTGCGGCCTGCAGTCTCCCCCATTTATCCGGTCGACTTACACCAGGTTCGTCTACGGGATCACGTAAGACACGTGAAAATATTCAAACATGTTGTCGGCGGCGGGGTCAACATATCGATGTCCTATACGTTGTGTTCGAATTAACTTTCATTACCGCTGTAAGTTTACTAATTAACTTTGCTTTGATGGGTTTTTTATGGTTTAGCAATGGCAGAAAAGTAGTAAATTTTTTTACCAAGTCTCTGTGTGTCCTTTACCACTTCTTGAACTACTGAAATTTTGTTTTGTTATGTGTAGGTAAATATCGCCATTCCAAAATCTGTAACTACCGGTATTGGAGCAGGGAGACAAATCTATGAAGTCCCCAGTTTCATCAGGTTTGCCTCTCCACCTCTCTCCCTCTCTTTCTATCCGTCGTAAATAAAAAATCAGAATAACGGTTATGTCGATTGTTTTTCAGCATGGCCAACGCATTTCCTCCAGTCAGTTTAAATTTTCCCGATGGATGTGAACGTAAGTTTTGGCAAAAATGAAGGCAGTAACTTGTTAAGGAACGGATGTACCAACTTGCTAGTTGGATTACTGGAGGTGCAATTGTATTGGATTTTATGTAAATAAACCTCAAAAGTTATAAAATTTCCACTTTCTGCTGTTGAATCTGTCTGCCTCTGCCCACTTCTGATAATAATACTCATATACTGTCGATCTTATTAACCAAAATAAACTGAATTAGTTGGAAACAGGTGGGACTTATCTTCAAAACAGTTAGTGGTAGTTGGAGTTAAGGGTAAAGGGTAAAAATGTAAAACTGTGCAACATAGTCTCTATATAAGTAGAGTCTTAGAGACTTAGAGACTCATGATGTAATATTTCCTTTTACTCAGAATATATGATTGAAAGCTCTCTCTCCTCTTCTTCGATTCCTTTAGTTTCTTCTTCTTTAAGATTTCTGTAATTCAATAGCGTTAATAGATCTTGCCATCGATGTACACTTCACAGTCGTGGACCGAATCTTCAATTTCATCAAGAAAGTAATTTGAGGAGGAAAAGAAAAGATGATGAATATATCGATTGAAAAATCGGATTGGAGTGTTGATTGCAGTAAACACTCCAATGCGAATGTTATGGGATCAATAATCGTAAAGGAAGAAAAGAGGGAGAAGTAGAGAGAAAAGGGGAAAGGAGATGAACTAAAACATTTATATTTTCATTCATAATCCTCCAAAAGAGTAAAAGAGACTAAATACATAGAGCCTGAGCAATCTACAACCCGAAATATGTGAATGGGATAACTATACTAAATGGAATAGGCCCAATAGAATGAGGAACCTAACAACTCCATCTCGCCCCTAGGATTCGGCTACTAAACTCAAAACCACTACTAGGATTCGGCTTGCTCAAGCTTCGATTCCATTTTACAGTAAGTGAAGAAAAAAAAAAAAAAAAAGTGTTTGGATTGTATATTTTACCGCTAGATCCAGCAAGGAAGATGAGCACGATGATGAAAGCTACTTTGAGACTTTTCTCCATCTCTTCAGTTGTTGACAGCAAAAGCAAAAGAATCTGATAGTTCTGCTTTGAGTATAATTTTCTGCAAATATAAGATTATATAGAGCTTTAAGTGTAGAGGAAATGGAGGAATGGTCCCTTAACTATCCTAGAATTGCAGCTTAGTCCCTACACTAAAAAAATCATTATATTTGGTCCTTGAACTTGGAAAGATGTGGAGCGTTAGTCCTTCATTACCAATTCCGTTAGTTTTAGTTAAAAGTGTTTACATGTTAGTTTCACACACACACATATATATATATATATATATATATAATAGAAAAGATGAAAATTACAACAAAAATTGCAGGCCTACCTCATCCACCAACAACCGCAGCCGACTCCAACCTGTAGCCCACGGAGCTCAGCCTTCACCCAAACCCCGAACCTGCATCCCACAAAATTCTTAAATCTTACCTTTCGAGACAGCGTGGATGGATGTCATTGTGAATTCGTTTACAAAGGGAGACGTGTTCGACATTTGGTTTACAAACTTTCTTTTGTTTTGGTTGTTTGGAGAGTGCTACAATGCTGTGGCTGGGGTTTGGAGGAGGCGAGGCAGAAGGGAAGACGAGAGAGAGAGAGATAGCTTTTATGTTTTTATTTTTTTACTTTCTCTATGTTTGTATTTATTTTAAATTTGAATTTTTTAAGCCACGTGGCATTTAGTTAACAAAAATATGGAGTCCACAAAGACCACGTCATCAAACTAACGGAAAATCTCACTATTTTACCGTGTTAGTATGGATGGACCAATGCTCTACAATTTGTTAAGTTCAAGGACCAAATCTAATGAATTTTAAGTATAAGGACCAAAACTACATTTCGATCATAGTTCAAGGACCATTTCTCCAATTTCCTCTTAAGTTTAACTCCATGTGTAAACAAAAGAAGTAAAGGTAAAAAAATTTAGCTGAATTAGATTGCAAATATGCCTAAAATAATCAGGTGTTTAAATTTAGTAAGATATGAACTAAAGATAATTTTTATTTAATTATTGAAGTACTCGTGCTTTCCATTTTCCAAACCTACAATCAAAATATAGCTGAAAATGTAAATTACTTTCTATAAATAAATTGTTTACCGATGGCTATATTCAACGAATGAAATGCATCATGAACTTTCTATACCATATATTAATACTTTCTATAGCCATTATTTCTTACTGCATCTATTATTTACGGTAGTACTATCCGCGCACTCATTTTTATTTTGCACACCATTCTTTCAATTTTCAACCGTCGGATTATCGAATGAATTAAAAAAATTCAATAAGATAAGAATAACAAAGACGTATGAGATATAAAAATAGTTGTGTGAACATCATTATCCCATAGAGAAAGACCAAATGATACATTGATTTCTTGTTGCAGCTATTACTTCCGGGAGAAGAATCAACAGTTTCCAAATGAAGGGTCCAGATTCATTTTCTTTTCAAATTTCTTTTACAAGTTCAACTTGAAAGCTACGGTTACTGCTGCTCTCTCTCTTGTTTCAAATGGCTAGATTGATGTTTTTTCAATTTGGCCGTTGCTCTCTTTTTTTTTTTTTTTTTTTGCTTTTTCATTATTCTTATAAATACTAAATTCATCTAACCAAGTTTACCACAACTTCATTTTATATACTTATTATATATAATTTATTTTGCTTAGTTTGCTGATTTAGTTTACCATCAATGACAAGTTCAAATGAGGCTTCAAACAAAGGTGAAAATTACTCAATTTATGAAGATGTTGCTTGATGTCGTGCTTATACAACAATTAGTGAAGATCCTATCATTGGGAACGACCAAGCTTCGATTTAATGACATTAGGAAAACACGTTGTAGAGGTATTTAATGGGATAACCCAATATTGTAGCCATTTTGGGCGAGAATGGCCTGAGGCCTGAGGCCTCACTTAAGGCTATTTGACGTTAGGACTTCACCCACGTTATGTTTTTTTTTTTTTTTTTTTTTTGCACCAGGCAACGGACCCGTGCTGTAGCAAACTCTGAATCTAGATCGTTGGATTTGCCAAATCCAACGGTCCCTTTATAACTTGTTTATTAAAAATTCAAAAAAAAAAAAAATATATATATATATATATATATATATGTAAAAGACTTCTCTACGCGGCACAACCTGGACTCTTGGATTGGATAAAAAAAAAGCCATCCGACGGTCTATATGAATTCTATTATTAAAAAATGTTTAAAAATTATAAACAAATACAAAAAAGTGCAAAAAAAAAAAAAAATAAAATAAAACTAAGAGAATATGAACCGTGGCATGATCGGGACAAGATTGTAATTTCAGATAATAACATCTGGCTTGACATGATTGGTTAAAAGTCTTACTCGAAATTAAACGTAATATTAATTGTTTTTCTTCTATGCAAAGTAATTTTTTATTGTTAAATGCACCGGCAATTCAATTAGGGGTAGAAATACACTGTTTACTGTTGACTTGATCAATGTGCTAGTCTAAATTATCTGGTGTGCCACCATTTGTTCTTCGTATCAAGTCGGAATTCACGTGACCAAATAATTTTGATCCTGATGCACAAATCAAATTTCATGAAAAAGTAAGTGATATTTTTTTCCATTGGTATTTCCATTCTTGGCTGACAGGCCGTATTTGAACACCTCACATAATATCTTCTATCTGTATGTGAATGCTGCTGCACCAGGTGAAATGTAAAGTTACGATGCTCTATACTTTTCTCTCTTTAAATGGCAAAACAAAAAATGAAAATATATGGACATGCAGAAGTAAAAGCTCTTGAAAAAACCATACATAATTAAAGTTCTTGTTCCGAATCTGCTCGAACAAAACTAAAAAACACCCACATGATTGTGGATTGAGAGAGCATGTGAAACTTATATGTCTTATAGTAGTTTAAAGTTATATACAAAATTTTGAAAGTGAAAAAAACTTCACTATTAATTTTGTGAATCGATCACTCTCACTAGCCACAAACTATTGCCTTGTATTGCATAGAGAAATATAAATCGAAGACAGAGCCACAATCTAAGTGCCAAAATGGTCTTTTAGATTGTCAACCCTCACTTTGACCCTTGAGATTTAAACCAACTGAAATGACGTCTTAAATTATCCACCATCAATTGTTTCAATCTTTCTGTGAAAAACTCTGTTAAATTGAAGAAACCACCTGTTCAAGTGGAAGGGTTGATTTGATAAAATATCCTCAATTTAACGGAGATCGTTTACGGAATGACTAAAATGATTGACGGTAGACAATTTCAATGACTACTTTTATCGATTTCAAATGTTAGAGACCAAAATGATGAGTTAGTCTACATGATAATATATAATTAAATTTTTAGAACTCAATTATATGTCACATCATTGCATAACATAATTTTTAACACGATACGATGGAGGACTCCCTTGACTGACGACCCTCATTTTCATGATATAGATCAATTTTTAAGTTCAAGTGTCATATTGATGAAGTGGGTCACTTTAAGTGAGCATTTGTGGCAATAATCCTATTTTCATTCATGGCCAAAACAATGAATTATATCAATGGGAGAGTATTATTAAAAGCAACCGATTTTTTACAAGGATCCGAGTACCAAAACCAAGCGCTCCAGCAACAGATGGTCATAGTTAATCCTTGAGATCTAATGGCTGATGGAATTAAAGAATTTAACTAATTTAAATCTGTTGCACTTATACCACTTAGTACTACGGTTTAGTGATATTTTTCTTTATGTGAAATCTTTAAATTCGGTTTTCATCAAAGATAATTTAAACCATATTATTACTAATTCATTACAAAACTAAGTTTAAAAAAAAAAAAAAAATCCATTGCACTCATAATTGTAAAAGCAATCTGAATGCATGTGATGAATGATTCACATCACGTGGTGAGGCCCCCATACAGTAACTATTTTTTTTTTGCTCGTCTTTTTTTTTATTTTTTTATTTTTTTACTGTTTTGGGTTTGGTATTTTCAGGGGGAAAGGATTAAGGATCCACTAAACTTGTATTCCAAATACATACATCCGTTCGCCTTGGCCCCTGGGCTTAACGTTGTGTTCCTTTAGTGCAGAGTAAATGAGATTTGAGAAATTGGAAGCTAAATACAATGTACATATAGGTAAGCAAACCATCAATACTACAATCTAGTATTACTTTGTTGAAAAGTATGAATACTAATAACTTAATATTACGATTTGGTGGTATTCTGTTTACTTTTAAGTAAGAGACCTAAGGTTCGATTGAATCAATTCTCACCAAACGCAAATTCAAACCAAATTATTATGATAGTCCATTGTAAATCATATTAAATGTAAAATATGATTGTAGTAAAAACAAAAGATATGCAAACCCTCAGTTTTGACTAATCACATGAATTTGTATTATGTTCAATATCTAATCATACATTTCAACTAGATAGCGTAGCCTAAATCTATTGCGTTATCTTCTATTTTTGTGTAAGAACAAAAAGGGGAAAAAAGCATCTTTAGCAAGGGAAGGAAGAGGACATTTGTGAAAAATGGGGCCGAGGTTTGTAAGTATCATCTGCTCACCTTCGGCTTTCAATTAGGTCCATGTACAGTCATTTACTATTTCCCATGTAAACTTGCTGAAACTCAAACCTGTTAAAGTAAAAGAAGAAACGCGTGCGAGGAAAAAGTAAATGGAATCTTTGCTATATATTCATATAAAACTTTCGCGGGCTTTTTGTAGTAAGACTTTCTCCTTTTTCCACCCGACTCACCCTTCAACCTCTTTGTCTCTCTCTTTCTTCAACCTCTTTCGCCTTACTCCGATTTCTACCTGACTCACCCTTCAACCTCTTTATCTCTCTCTCTCTCTCTCTCTCTCTAAGAAGCAGAAGCATACAGTCACCTCTCTATTTATTGGAAGCAGAAGGCTCCACAATCACCATTAATCACCCTTCCCTCCAGGGCCGGCCCTGAGAATTTGAGGGCCCTAGGCGAGCCTTTGAAGTAGGGCCCTAAAATTCTCTGATATCCGGTTTTTTGTATATTGATTTGTAAAAAAAAAAGAATTCGCTAAATACATAAAAAGTTATATTTTCACATCAAATATCATTAAAAGTTAATATCAAAAGAAGATAAATATACAAACATTATTTAAACATAACACGATTCACGTTTTTAGACATAAATGTATTAAATATTTGCAGTCAATTGTTTAAGATTGAGAGTGAATAACAATAAAACTTGATGATCAAGAGTGTTTTAACAATACAACTTGATTAACGAGTATAATAAATTCAACGCCAATTGTTTCTCTTATATTTTTTGTTTTCTTCTAAAATCAACATCACACTAACGAATTGAATAATAAAATAATCTATTGAATAAAAAGTTATTGAAAAGAAAAATATAAAATTCAAAGTTTTGATTACCTTAAAGTACAATCTTTAAGACTATATGATAGTTGGTTTAAACATTCAATAGAAATGAATAGAATGAGAAGTTGAAAGAAAAAATATTGTAAAGAGACTTGAGTTTTATAAATTTATATGCATTTTGATAGATGGATTGGGAGTAGGACAAATGGATTAACAGTAAATTTGAAAAACAAGAAAAATTAAGAAAAAATCTAGTGCTTGAAAGGCAGCTTCATGTTTTGAACTCAACAACCCAAAGAAAAATGAAGCCAACATTTCCAATGCACTAGCAAATAAATTATAATATTTTTTACTTTTTTTGTATTTATATGTTAATTATAGAATATAAATTTTTTTTTGAGACCCTTCCGAAATGGGGTCTTAGGTGGACGCCTGGCCAAACCCTCAGGGCCGACCCTGCTTCCCTCCCACTCGTTTCTTCCCCGAGCCACACACAGGCACCACCTCCAATTTTCGACGATTTTAACCACCAAAACACCATCACAGTTTCACCACGACTCCGTAATCACCATCAAACCCGCTGTTTAGCGAGATTCAAAGACGAATCCCTGGAACCCTGTTAAGGGTAAGGAACAGATGGGCTAGATTCCGATATCTTTTGGCCGTTTCCGGCCACTCCCACCTCTCCGGCTACCTCTTCAACGCGGATAAGGTAAAAACGAACCCCTCTCTCTGCTCTCTTCTGTCATGGCTCTGTATTTCTTCTCTCTTTTTTATCGGTGGTCACTACCTATGACTTACTGGTTGTCGAGAATTTCAATGTTGGGTGTGTAATCTGCGAAGATTTCAACTAAAAATTCACAAGAAAAAAACAATTTTGAATATGTACCGTTCCTAACTTTCGAAAATGGGTTTTGCCTTTTTGGGAGTCGCCCATATCTGACATTTTTTTTTAATAGCCACCCAAATTTTACTTCTTGCTTGGGCTGGTTTTGTGAAGAAGCCGTTTGATTTCTGGGGACTTGTTGCAGACAAATTTTCTGCAGGCCTTGTTTTTTTATGGGGTTACAAATTATCTTCAACGAACTTGAACTTGTGAATCCAAATCTTCGTTGGATGTTCAACAAAGATTCCTAGATAACCATCAAACATCAAACTCCCAAAGTTTTGCTTTCTATTTTTAAAGGGAAGAAATGAAAATAAAGAATTTTAGCCTAAAAGTTTGAAACAAATTGCAACACTTTCAGTTTTTTTTCTGTTGACAATTAGTGAAAGATGGAAAATTATTTTAATATTTGCAGACATCTTGAAGCTCTGAATCTTTATTCAACAGATGGTGGGAGAATTGTTAGAGAGAAACAATAGAGAAGACGGTTTTTTGGTGAAAAAATTACCAAAAAAAAATAAAAAAAATAAAAAAAAAATCATAATTGATTCCTAGTCTGTATGAACGGCCAAGATTTCGTGATCAGGAGGCTCTGCATGGCTAGATCCGGAGAAGGCGAGACAGAGGTAAAGATCTGGGGCTTTTATATAAACTACAGTCTTAATTAAATTTTGTTGTATGGATGAGATGAAAAAGAAAAACTGCGTATAATTCATAATCTTTTCATTCAATTTTTCTGTTTTTTTTTTTTTTTTTTGGCGTTAGATTTTCTGATTTTCAGCTTGTAAAAAGGTTAGCTTTTGGCTTCTGGCTTTTAGCTTTTGGATTTTGGCTTTTTAACCTTTGATTGAAAATCCCATCAAAGAATTTGCATTTCGAACTTAGTAGCAAGAATTGAATGCTTGGTTTTATGCTTCAAATACCCAATTTAGCTCAAATAATCTTGTTGTTCGTCGTTGCAGGGGCGAATAAAGAAGATACAATGTTAGTAATTAAGTCTAGTTTGTTGACAGACGGCATGAATTATTGAATACTTTTGCAACTCTGCCCATATTCCTGATGCTCTTTCCTCTTGCGGGTTTGAACTAGCATAAAAGATTAATTATGCAAATTTTTAGTTATATTCGTATGTCAATGATATTACGATTTGTTTCCTTATAAAAAAAAAAAGAAAAGAAAAAGAAATATGAAACTCCAATCTGGATGCCATACGAGGCACTATTTTTTTAAAAACACAATTGCAACATTTTTTGATAAATCCTTTCCGCAAAAAGGAAAACATTTTTTATTCCATAATATAATTTACACATCAAAGGCCCACATTCAAATATAAACAAAGAAAAATTGGACTCTCCTAAGCTAACCAAACCGAGCCCAACGAAGAGCCCAAAACCAGAGACAAAACAAAGGAAGGTATGAGATTCCTGCTACCACCGCCGCAACAGTAATTCACGATCAACCCGATTCGACTTCCCCAACAAACGCCAATAATTCAACCAAGTAAAATCGCAAAGATGAAAAGAAGGTAGATCATATCATTCAGATACAAACGCCGCTTTGATCTCAGCCAGAAATTGAAAGATGCCCGTGAGATTACCACAAAAAACACTGCCAATAATTCAACCAAGTAAAGCCGCAAAGATGAAAAGAAGGTAAATCATATTATTCAGCCACAAATGCCGCTCCAATCTCTGAAAGAAGCCCGTGGGATTACCACAAACAACACTGCCAATAATTCAACCAAGTAAAGCCACAACGATGAAAAGAAGGTAGATCATATCATTCAGCCACGAATGCCGCTCCAATCTCAGCCAGAGACTGAAAGAAGCCCGTGGGATTACCACAAACAACATTGCCAACAAAGGCAGACATGGAGAAAGTAGTGGTGTTGTAAACACCTGAGCGGGTATGAACACCAGAACTCTACACACACTCTCAAATAATCGCAACAAGTTGAGTTGAAGACTGACTGCAGACCAGAATGAAAGTGGTTGAGGAAGATGGATGCCCATGAGGTGTGAATGATAAGGCAAATATGGAAAGAAAGCTAGGGGTAAAGGTAGGATAAGGAACTAAAGGAGGAAACAAAGAGAAAAGGGAAAGATCTGCCATCGATCCCCTCCACAACGAGGACTGATGGCGACAAAATCAGATAAAGGAGAAACCACTCACACAATTGTGGGAACGACTCTAACACGAAGAGAAAGTCACACAATTTACAACTTAATTTGACACCAATGATTTAAGTTGACATTGTTTTCAGATGACACCGATGTATTAAGGGTAACTATTGTTACAATACATAGAGACTTCTACATAAGACATATACTTCTATTTAGGAGCTGCACGGTGACAATTGAGGTTTGCCATCAATGTCAGTGCCCACTCTTTATTATAGACACCAAAGGGAAGGTGTTCTGCCTTCTTCTCCCTCTCTCTCTCTCTCTCTCTCTCTCAAGGAAGGAGTACAGTCACCTCTCTCTATAAATTGGAAGCAGAAGCTCCACAAACACCACTTACCTTCAGTCAATCACCCTTCCTTTCTTTTATAGTGAAGCAGTTAATCACCCTTCATTCTTTCTCTCTAAGAAGCAGAAAAAAACCATTTTCCAAACATGTGGGTTTTGTGTATCCCGTATTCCTTTCTCGTGGTCTCGTGTCTCTATTTCCATCGTCTCCCCTTCTCGGCTTTCTATCTCAACTCTCATCTTAGATCATACCGTCTCAACTGCATATCCATTTGACGTCATTGTCTTCCCCATCGACCGACAAAGGTATTCTCCACAACTCACGCCGACGCCTCCAAATGATATCATGGAGTCGCTTTTCGTATTCGTCACCATGGTTCTAATTTTGCGGTCTGCTGTCTTCCATGTTTATCATGTCGAGTTACACCAGGTTCAACTAGGGGTCGTTTAAGACACGCATGACTATTTAAACACATCGTCGCCGGCGGAGTAAACATATAGGTCTCTGATTTTATTTTCCAACACGTCACGTATGTCAATCTTTTCTTCTGAGAATTTCATATTGCTTTAGCTAGTATTATTACATGTATTGTCTCCAAGGATGTGTATTTGTGTTTCATTATACACACACACACGATTTATTTGACTAAAGTGGAGTTGGGCTCTCCTCCAAGAGAGTTTGAGGTATTGTTCGAAACGGGCAGCCACCTCACTTGAGTTGCACGCAATTTTTGCATTGAATACCCCTAGCTTAGTGGGCTTGGAGTAAGTCTCCGTATTTTATTTCTTGTTTGCTGTAATTATCTTCCACTAATGTCTTCAATTTTTCCAAGTCCATAACAGTATTATCCATACCCTATGAATAATTAAGATGGTTCGAACTAATTTTCAAGCTAGGTTATATATGAATGCACATTATAGATATAAGATATTATTTATGCCTGAAAAAAAAAATTTGAAATCCAACAATGGAAACCCTGGAAAAAAAAATGACACAAATAATGTTATAATGGCATGACTAAAGAAAAATGTTTTTCGTGTCCAAATTCATATAATAGAACACGTTGAAGAAGGTATTAACTGAAGTTGACTCTTTTTTTAGGATAAAGTACAAAAAACTACCTCAATTATTGGGGTTACGACAGTTTCATACCTCATCTTTTAAAATTGACAATGTCATACCGCATCTTACGAATTTGTGACAATGTCATACCTCCGTCAAATTTTCTGTTAATTTTTCTGTTACGTGCTGACGTGGCAAAAGACAGAGACCATTCACTAATCCAACTGAATTAAAAAATAATTAAATATATTTTTAATAATTAAATATTAAAAAAATTAAGAATAAAAAAACAAAACAAAAAATTTCCTAGGGGTGCGGGGACCCTTTCCCCTCTCCTTCTTCTCCTTCTTCTGGTTTTTTTATTTTTTTCTAGGTTGCAGTTTTCATTTTTTTTTTCCTCCTCCTCTTCTTCCTCCTTCTTCTTCGTTCCCCCTTCTCCTTTTTTTGGGGGGGGGGGGGGGGGATGTGGTTGGGTTTTCAATTTTTTTTTTTTTTCCTCCTCCTCTTCTTCCTCCTTCTCCTTCTCCTTTGGGGGGATGTGGTTGGGTTTTCAATTTTTTTTTTTCCTCCTCCTCTTCTTCCTTGGAGGGGGGGGGGGGTGCAGGTGGGATTGGGTTTCCAAATTTTATTTTATTTTATTTTTCCTCCTCCTCTTCTTCCTTCTTCTTCTTCTTCAGTTCTTCCTCCTTCTCCTGGGGGCGGGTGGGGTTGGATTTTCAAAAAAAAAAATTTTAATATTTAATTTACTTTTATTTATTATTTTAATATTTAAAAAAATATTAAATTTTTTTTTAGTTTTTAATAATATTTTTAATAGAAAGTGGTTCCAGTCTCTTGCCACGTCAGCACTTAACAGAAAAGCTAATAGAAAAATTGACGGAGGTATGACATTGTCACAAATTCGTAAGATGCGGTATGACATTGTCAATTTTAAAAGATGAGATATAAAACTATCGTGATCCCAATAATTGAGGTAGTTTTTTGTACTTTACCCTTTTTTTTAACTACATTGATGGAGATTTCATCAGACTCTAAAAGGGAAAAAAAGAGTGCCACGTTTGCTTTCTAACAAAAGAAACAAATGTGTCACAACTACCAATGGAACTGCAAATCGGATTCAAAGTAGGGAGTTTGAATACCAACGGCTGACAATTTTCTCTACCCTTTCTCTCACATTGGTTTTTATTTTTCTTACTCGTTTAGGCTTTTAAAGTATATTTTGTCACATCCTAAACCGGCTCCACCGTAGCACGATATTATTTGCTTTAGGCCACGTCCTCACGGTGCTATATGGAGGTGGGCATGTACATATAAGGTGCATCACCCCTTCTCCATTGGTCAATGCTGGATGTTAAAATCCACCCCCCTTAGAGGCCCGACGTCCTCGTCGGCACACTCGCACCACAGGGCAAAGTGGCTCTGATACCATTATGTCACATCCCAGACCCACTCCACCGTAGCATGATATTGTCCGCTTTGGATCACGCCCTCAAGGTTTTGTTTCTGAGAACTCACACTAGAACTTCCCAGGAAGGTCACCCATTCTGGGATTGTTCTCGCCCGAACTCACTTAACTTCAAAGTTCCGATGGAATCCGAAACCAATGAGTTCACAAAAAGCATCGCTATATGGAGGTGGGCATGTACATATAACGCACATCACCCCCTCTTCGTTGATCGATGTGGGATGTTACATATTTTGTGACATTTTGGGATTTATGCTTGAGCTGGTCCATTTTTCACATAACTAATCTATGGCATTTTACATGCCACATATTCCAATTAATTTCTACAATATTGTAGCTCATCGACTACGAGACTGATGAGTTGCTCACACTAGAAATGCACTAGCTTAGGAACCAAATGCTCTCAGAACAACCACTGCACTTACCATAGCATATACGAAGATGGAGACAAGGCAGATGATTATTATGTTTTCGACCTTGTCTATTTCGACATGTTAATTTCGCAGGTTAACTCTTTCAAGTTCATTACTTTTGGGTCAGCTTTAACTTTATTGTTTTCTAGCAACTTTTATTGAGGAGGAAAACATAATAAGACCTATATTTACAACAATTCTCTTAATTGAAATAGGTGTACTGATTAAGAGTCTGGTAAAATCACACACAAAAATCTTGCATACACTGGTATAGTTGGGTTCGGCCCGGAAAACTATCCATTATTTCCCAGTTATTTTCTCAAGGGTTAACTCCAAAAGTTTTCTCGCATTGTCTGATGGGAGATGAACATGCCGCCCTCTCATTACTTACCGCAATTTTTTCTTGAATTGCGGGGGAGTTAACATTTTTTCTAGCGTTCCTTTTTATTGATGAAGAGGTTACCTCGTGCTCTTCAAAAAATGAAGGCAAAGACCGCCCGGGCCGAGTTTACCAAGGGGATCTTGGAGAGGCACCAAATCAAGGCCACCACCCTCCCCCTTTAAAGATAGGGGTGCCAAAAAGTCTTAAAAGAGGTGTCGGGGCCCCAAACTCATCTGGAGTTGGAGAATAAACAAAATTCTCAACAGGAATGCATCAATTAAACTGCCCTTCCATACAGATTTACAAAGGCCGGAGCTTAGGACTGAACCCGAGGAATTCTCGTGATTAGGAGAAAAAAACTCCAGACATGCTCACCTCAGAGGTGAGGACCGAACAAATTGAAGATT